TTACTGTGAAGACAGGAGCTGATTGGTGGTCCAGCTATGAATTCACAGAGGGCCAGCTATAGTAACTCAACGAGAGAGTAATTTCAATTGACGGTACAATTGACCAATCATATCTTCCCTCTGAATGGGTGGGTTTTATTATCGCGGACTTTATGACAAGTTCCGCCCGATGTGAAACTTTTCTCCGTCACGTTGTTTCCATAGCAACAACAACTTCCTGTCAACAGTGTAAACTCGCCTTCAAAATAAAAGCATGTCCATACAAAATAGGAAGCCAAGCCAAATTACACTTAAGACATATAAACAACTGCAACGAAAGTAACAAACACAATGCAATATCAATATAACACAAATTGGGTTATTTACAGGTGTTGTTTTGTGTGCTAGAGGGTCGCTTTCATTGATGCATTTTGCGCCCCGTGGCGTTGTTTTGATATTCCGCTGAAGTATACGTTGTGACCATAGACTGTATGTATAAATGGACGTAGTGTCCATGACGTCACCCATAGGATTCTGCAGAGTTGTCGAGAAGCCCTTATTAGGCGGAGTTGGCCACTAACGGCTCGACAGTGAAATCAGAGTCTAACTCCCGCCTACTCCAGCCTGATCCAAATAAGAGCAAAGAGGCGGAGCCGAGGCGGGACCTGCTGCCACGAGCTGTGAGTAACAGAGCTACCTCAAGCTAAGAAGCAAAGCTAACATGAAATACATGCATACCAAGTTACTGTGTGGCACTTTTGATAAAACAGTGTAGTTCCACTATATAAACGATACATTCATAATCAAACGAGACAATCTGCAAGAGAATTAGCTATTTTTTGTTATTCTTAATGCTTGTCATTCACACGTTAATAAAAGTAAAATAAGTACCGATACATAGCAGAACAATTGTGGCGATGTTCAGCTTAAAAAGCCTTGTTCAACATAATTTATTTAGCTAATACTACAGCGGGCTGCAGGTGAACCAAGTCCGCGTTTCACTGCATTCCTTGATCTCCAGTTATAACGCCGGACTCCGCCGCCGGGATGCTAACGGAGCCGCAGGGGGCTAGCTCCGGCCGCCGGGACGCCGGCTGGAGCTAGCCCCCTGCTGCTCCGTTAGCTCCGGCCGGCGGACTCCGGTGGCCACCACTGGGATAATTGGGTCCCCTTTTAACATTTGCTCACGTTTACCATTATGGGCGTTATAGCCATAGACTATAAAAGTCTTACCCAAGGCTGAATCATAAACTAAACTGTATATGTATATATATATATGTATGTATAAAGGGTTACGTCCTTAGCTGGCTAATAAGCTATATAACAAGCTAAGCTAACAAGCACATAAATACCTGCTAACGGGGTTAACATGTATAATATTATCATTTTAGAGTTCTTGGAAGTTCTGTTAGTGCATTCAACCGCACAGCACGACATTTTAATTGTCTGGTATTTGTAAAAAAATTCCCTAAAAGGCACAATCACCACTAACACGGCTAAAGCATCAAGTACCGTAACTACAACTAGCTAACGTTGTAGCCTAGCAGAGTGGACAAGTTGCTGTTAGCTGACAGTGAGGCACGTACCTGTCCATCAAAGTGACCACGTCCTAATTTATGCACAAAAGTTAAGACCTAATATAAATAAAAGGGTCGCGTTATAAAACAATTCACTCAACAATGAATAATCATTAAGGTGGAATCTTACTATATCCCGAATAACTTGTATTGCATCCAGGGGTAGAAACATGTTTTTTCTGCTGTAAAGTTGGGCATTTTAACATGGGGGTCTATGGAAATTCATCCTTTCTTTATCCTTATTGGCCTCTCGGCTCTGCCCCAGTTTTTGCCGCTTGGCTGTGACGTAATAACTATTTTTTTCCTTTTTTTTCGAGGGAAGGGGGGATCAGAGGGCCTAGGTATAAAAGTCACGGCTCGCCACTGCAACTAACAGTGGTGTCTGCTGGTTGGCTAGGGGAAGGAAACTCCCTCCCTCTTAGAGAGAAAAGAGCTAATATGACACAACGTAAAACTTACAAAAGAGCTGAAAATATGTCTGATTTAATATAGATATTAGTCTTTAGGACAAAATAAGAATTCATGAAACAGAATGAAAAGTCGGACCTAAACATTGATGATTCATACAGTAAATGCTGCTTTGAGTGTGTCATAATGTCCGTCTCCTGACCTTTGAGTCTCCTCAGGTGGGCCTTCTGCTCCGTCTCTATGAGGGGGAAGTCCTCTCTTGATGGGCACCTGATCAACCGAAAGCACAGAGCTCACGATTATCATTCATGTGATTCATTTTTGTGTCTGTTTTTTTATACGTAAATTGTACACATAAGAGGCAGAGATACAACAACCATATACAACCACAGTCATGTTGAGGGGTTAAGGTTCACAGAGTGGTGCAGTGATGATGTACTGATGTAGGCCGACTTGTAAGTTAGCATCAAAAGGGCTCCCTCAACGAAAAGCAATGGGATTTTTCCATTGGATTGGAATGTTGCAAAACATTGCTCTCAAGCAAACACACTTTCATGATACCTACACCTTTTGTTCATCAGGTTTATATCCATATTTAAATACTACTTTTATAGCGTAAATGCAATCAAAAGAAGTAAAAAGCTAACGTTTAAAAAGGAACTATTACTATCCCGGTGACATGACTGCACAATTACCAGTCTTATTTAGACACTTTTTACCGCTAACCGCCAACGATACATAGAAGTCTCAGACATTTCAGAAAAAAACATACTGACATATGTCATCGTCCAAATTTCAAATATCTTAAGCTTGTGCTATCACAAACCTTATTCCAGGAAATACACCTTTCTTAAAACCGTTGAATTCTAGGCGAGGGAACAGGAAGTGGTAAACTACTGACTCGTTTCCAGATTTGGTTTTTAATTTATGACATATATGATACTATGACATAACTCAACAAAAATAAATAGACGCATATACAGCTAAAAGAGTGCCACTAATTCAAAAACATGAAGTCCAGATGCTCAATTTGACTATCTGTAGGTGGTTTGTGCTTGTCTTATCAACAAAGCTACATGTAACATTGTAAATGCAATACATTGAGAAGTTAAGTAAATATTAGTTTAAGGGAAAATCTTTTAATATAATGAACAATAGTTCACATAAAAGTATTTTTTCTGCGTAGAGAGAAACCTTGTATGTTCATGTGCATTAACCCACTTGCTGACGGTGCGCTGGATGTGGCGGATCCAGACGTTCTTATCTTCTTTGGAGGCAGCGTGGAACTCGTACATCTCAGGAGGAGAGGAGTCGCTGATGAGGAACATGCCTCGCTCCTGATTGGCTATATCCCTCACTATCAGGTTCTGAAGGGACAGCACTGAGGACTTGTCCTGGATCACACACAGGAGGAGGGTTAGCCACAGGAACAATAATAGAGTGACAGTATGGAGAGCTGTCCTTCCAGTCATATGCACACAAAAATATACATTGGTAGATGCAATGTTGGTGTGTATGTGAGTACATTTCTTACCAGACATGGGAAGAAGTATCTTTGGTCTTTTTCCTGTAGAAACACCAGGACGTCTGTCATCAATAAGACCGTTGTATCTACACACACACACACACACACACACACACACACACACACACACACACACACACACACACACACACACACACACACACACACAGAATACAAGTTCACTAAAACAGGTTCAACTTGTTTCTCCACTATGTGAACACATGTAAACCTGAAGCCACACCCATCACCTAGATACCCTGAAAGAAATCTGAAATGCTTCCGCTGTCATAATATTGTGAAATGTTGGACGAACCCCTACCTGTCATACCCCCGGTGCTTTAGTCCATAATTTCAATGTTTCACGAATGTGTCAATCAATGTATTCCTTTTGACATCATGCTTAGTTGTGCTTTTTAAAAAATGACTAAAAGTATAGCAATGTATCAAGGTGCTGGGGGAATCACCTATACATTTTCAATAGATAGAATCAAGATGGCGACACGGGCGAATGCTGCGAACGCAGCGAACGCTAATCTCCTAGAAATTAAGGACGCTTTATCCAGCATTACCAAGGATATAAGTGGCTTAAATAAGACCCGAAAGGATGACAGCATAACAATTGAAAAACTGCTAGAAACCATCGGTAGCATGGAGAGGATTATGCATGGAGAGGATTACGAAGGAAAAAGACGAGAAGACTGTCACGCTGGAGAGAAGGATCGAGGAGCTTGAACAACAAACCCGGAAAGAGAATGTTATCGTGACCGGATTAAAAATCATAAAACCATATTCCCAGGTAGTGAAAGGAGATTCTGCGCCTTCCAGACAGAGACGGACATGATTCGGTCGAAACACAGGTGCTCGAGGCACTTAACGATCGTGGCGTGTACCTGAGGAGATTGAGATCTGCCACACACTTGGGAAGCCTTCGGAAAGTGGATTCCAAAGGGTGATCATAAAACTTGTGAGCAGAAAGACAAAAGTTCGTATGATGATTAATGCCAAGAAACTGAAAGGGACTGGAATCTACATTAACGAGCACCTCACGAAAATGAACGCCGATACTGCAAGAACTGCGAGAGAACTGAGGAAGAGGAACAAAATCGAAGCTACCTGGACCAGGGACTGTAAAATATTCATCAAAACAAACGAAGGGAAAGTATCGATTGTGAAGGACAGTGAGGACTTGTCTATATTTTAATGAACTATGAGGATAAGAATATTACTCCCGCTATTGGTAAAGTATTGACAAATAATGCAAATAGTGACAAAATCTAAATATATCTTCAACTCATAAATAGATCTTTTGACATCATTGCAATCTCAGAGACCTGGCAAACTGACTCAAACAATGTTGACAACCCGATTATGTGGCTTTTCATATGAATCGCAAACTCCAAAGAGGTGGAGGGGTTTCACTGTTTGTTAAAAACACACTTTCTGCGAGATTGGTAGAAAGTCTCTCCTTCTGCTGTAACAACCTCCTTGAATCTGTCACCGTAGACATTGAGCTAAAACAGAACAAACATATACTCGTCTCATGCATGTATAGAAAGCCTGGAAGTAATCTTGAGGAATTTAATGAACAAGTAGAAAAAATGCTTAGACCTCATAGAATTAAAAACCTTTATGTGTGTGGAGATTTCAACGTTAATTTATTAAAATACAACTCGCTCCAACAGGCGAGACACTTCATGGATATGTTTTCTTCACTCGGGCTTCTCCCTCTAATAACCAAACCAACCAGGTTAACTAGCACTACTGAAACGTTAATTGATAACATTTTCACTAACGTCCTTGAAACGGAACATCATAGTGGGGCCCTCATCACTGATGTCAGTGATCACCTGCCAATATTCACAATCTGCGGAAAATAACCTGTAAAAAATGCTCAAACTAAGTACAGGGGATTGAACAAAAACAGGGTTGGGTGTTTTGAATGCCACCTATGTCAAAAACACTCGCATGGACACACATTTGGACAAACTCATGAATATATGTTCATATTCTAAATTAATTGCACATTTAATAAAACGTAGCCTACTCTCAATTAGAAGCATGCTTCTGAACAACTGTGTGTATGTGTGTGTGTGTGCGTGCGTATGTGTGTTGACACTGTCAGCATCATTCAAAAAATAACCCTTCTTCCTACCAGCATACTGTATATGCCGCGACATTAGTCCACACACTTTCAGAAACATGACTGTGAAGTCTGTGTTTTTGCCGTATGTGTTTGTGTTCCTTGTGTCAGTGGTGAATGCCAGTAATAGCCCATGGCCGGCTCTCTGCTCACTGACATTTGACGAAGTTGTGGTTGAGGAGTGATGAATGACAGGAGGAGGCAGATGCCGGTAACAGCTTTAACTTTTTTCCCTTTAGGGAAACAACACATTCTGCAGAAACAGACAGAAAATAATAGAGCTTTTGGAAAAAAACATCAACAACATGAGCCACATTAAAGGGATAATACAAAAGCCATGTACATGGTTGATGATATATAGTACAATTATGTCAAAAAGAACAAAGATTTGCAATCTTTAAACAGAGGCACCCCAAAATGAGGCAAATGATTCCTTCGATCTCTTGTTTTACAAAAATTGCACCAATCAATATGGTTTATTAATAATTGATCACATTAGGTGTGTAAAGAATTATCTTCCTAAGCTTCTAAAGTATTATAACCCAACTTTTCAGAATCATAAATCCCAAGTGCGGATAAAATGCAAATAACATGAGTAGACTAACATATTCAATAAGAAGCCTGTGTTAAAGGTGACCTATTATGTAAAATGCACTTTTTAATGTCTTTTCTACATAACTATGTGTCCCCGGTGTGTCAGGGAACTCAAGCAGCATCAGAAAATAAAACCCTCTC